AAAACCATGTCCTCGAAACTCCTGAGGGCCAGGTGTATCGGCCGGAGCTCCAACCAATTTATGTTATGGCTCAGATCCTCCTGAGTCCATTGTCCCTGAGCCATGCGTGATTGGAGGTGAGCTCCCCAGCCAAATAAGCTGGCATCTGTTGTCAGTATCAGGTGATCTGGTTCTGTGAATTTACAGCCCTTAGAGATGGCGCAGGAAGTCCACCATTTGAGAGAAAGGAGAACCTCTGGTGGAACCTGCACTCTGGTCGTGGATGTGCTCCTGTGGGACCTCTGATATGGGAGGAGGAACCATTGTAGAGTCCTGCTGTGGAGCCATGCCCATGGTGTGATGGTGATGCAGGCCACCATCTTTCCCAGAAGCTGAGATAGCAGAAGCAATGGTACAGATCACTCTGTCAAGATGCATCTTGCCAATTCTCTCAGACTGGCTTGGCACTCCTGGGAAAGGTATACCTTGGACTCCACCATATCTTTGGTTGGTTCCAGATGGAGCAGTTAAGTCATGGGAACTAGATGGCTTTTGGACAGATTTATAGAGAAACTGTGGTCTTGTAGAACCTGAAACATGGTATTCAGTTCCCTCCTTGCCTGGGTTTCCAAACTGGTCTGAATAAGGATGTCATCCAGATAAAACTGGGTCCTTATTGGTAGAGTCTGGAGATGGCCTGCTAGAGCAGCCATCAGCTTGGTGAATACCCTGGGGGCGGAGGACAGATTGAACGGCAAAGCCTGATACTGGTAGTGTTTCCCCACATAATGGAAGCGGAGAAATTGTCTCGGACGGGTAGGATGGGGACATGAAGGTATGCTTCCGTCAGGTTCACTGATGTGAGGAAGTCACCCTTTCTAACACTTTCTAAGATGGTCTGGAGCGACTGCATCTTGAACCATCGGTAAACAATGTGACAGTTCAGAGCCATGAGGTTGAGAATTGCCCTCCTCCACCCCCCACCCCCCCCGAGAGCTTCTGTATTACGAACAATCGGGAATAAAACCCCTGTCCGTGTAGCTTCCCTGGAACCAGCTGGATGGGCTGAATATCCAGAAGATGTTTTATGGTTGATTCCATGAGGAGCCGTTTCGTCTGATCCCTTGACACAAGGCAGCGGACGAAAAGCCTCAGGGGGTTGGAGGGGAATTCCAGGGAGAGGCCCGACTTCACCATCTCCCTGACCCAAGCATCCGAGGTGGTGTCCTCCCATTGGCCGGCAAATAATGCCAGATGGCCCCCTTTGGGAGGGTTGGACAAGCAGTCATTTTGAGCGTTGAAAGGAACAACCCCTCCCACCCCGAAAGGACCGTTTGGGTGGGTACCTATGTTCCTGTCTGCCCTGCCTGTCCTGCAGTTGCCCTTGTCTGGAAGGAAGCCTTTGTGAACACAGCATTCTAAATCTGCTGCCTGACCCTTGAAAGGAGGAGGGATGAAAATAAGATGCCGGACATGACTCTGCCCTTTGGGACATGCTCGGCCAAATTTTGTGTTTGTCCCTGGACTCAACTAAAATAGGATCCAGGGAGTCTCCAAACAATTTACCCCCGGCATACGGTGAAGATGCCAGCTGCTGCTTATTCCTGGCATTGGCCTGCCACTGACGTAGCCATAGAAGACGCCGAATTGCTACTGAGGAGCCGATGGCTTTGGCTGCAAATCTAGATGCATTCAGCGTGGTGTCTGCTGAGAATTCCATTGCCACCATTATTTTATTGTGGTCTTGGTGGGACCTTGTATCGGCAGCTGGCAGTCGTTCTTGCAGTTGCCTCATCCAGAGCAGTGAAGCCCAATTAAAAAATGAGGCAGCTGAGGATGCCTTAACGATCAAGACCGCCGCCTGGTGAGCCTTTACCAATGACTGCTCCAATCTCTTCTCCTCAGGACGGAGGTTTTCCTCCGGGGATCCTGTTAAGACAAAATTCAAGGACAGGGCCACCACTGGTTCGTCAATGGGAGGACCTTAGCAAGATCCATGAGAAAAAGTTATGATAGTTCTATAATTTCAGCCTCATTTAGATAAAAACTAAACCTTGGGACACTGCAACTGTCATAAATATGAACCACTTGTCAAATATCCAAATGTAAATCATGCAACCATGGGGATACTGCAAAAGTCATAACTGTGACAAATGGTTATAAGTCACTTTTTTCCTTTGTAGTTGTAACTTAAAACTTTCAGTAAATGAACTGTTGTAAATTGAGGACTACCTGTACCAATGTATGCCCACAACTCATCCCCAATGAGTCTACTTCAGCTTTCTCTATATAGGACTGATGCCTAAGTGAAGTTATGCTAGTTTCCATTATATAAGAAAACAATGGTTTCTTGAACACAATAGTTTCTTGCACATAATCAATCGTGCACACTAATTTACCCCAAAAAAGAAAAATGCCGAGTGTCAAAAGTACTAATGTGCAAGTCCTGCAATTAACTGGGTCTAAATTAAAAGAAAAAAAATTAAAAACAGCTCTCCTGCTGGAGCAGTTGGATTAGTAGACCTCTAAGAACCCTTCCAACTCTATTATTCGGATAACTGCATATATTCTAAGCGTAAAACAGTCATTGACAAAGCATAGAATGGGATACTAGTCTTCTGGATGATCTTCAAGTGCAGTCCTATTTAGCACACATTGAAGTAGTCCTATTGTGAGATGACCACAATGTGAGTGACCATCCTGGCTGAGAAAAGGCCACAACCGTGCAAAGGCCCTAATAGCCAGAGCTGCCATATGCACTTATCTCTCTCATGTGTTCCTTTCTGTTTTACTGATTGACAAGATTTGAAAAACACCACCAAATCCAATCAGGAGTGAGTTGTATTCCTCCTTCAGGCTAATTCACAAGAAACTTTTTAATGGTTACATTCTTTTAAGAGAAATAAATTATTTCCCAAAAAGGATCATTTGGGCAATATTTATACTCAATGTATCCAGCGATTCTTACGACATGCGCTGCATCTAGAAAGCTTAGTTCAGGGTTTACTGATGGCTTAAATACTGTCGAGGCTAATTACAAAGAATGATGTAAATACCACCACAAGAACATGTTGCTGGGTATATTCTATTTATATATTTGTTTATAAATAATTTATATTCTATATGCAAAAGTCTTCCAAACACGTCTTCCTGGCCATGCTGAAGAAAGAGAATAATAGAGTAGGCAAACTAGGAAGACAACTTGGTGGATCTGTATTATAGTAGTGGCATGTAAGATTTGACGGCCATGTGCAGCTTTCAAAGCAGCCCCCTTTCCCCCACCCCCATCCCACCCAAGACTTTCATGTTAAACTTTTGTGACAAATGCAGAATGGCGGAAGCTATTAGTAAAGATAAAGAGACTACTCACATGAATGGCTTGATTATATTCCAGTTACAATTTAATTTGATTTTTTCCCTGGTCTTGCCTGATTATTGGGGTGCCGAGGGTATATGAACAGTGTATCTTCCTGTGCTAAATAATAACAGATCACAATGCTTACATGCATTTTCTTTGGTGAGGGATCCTCTAAGAAAAAAAGGACAGGGGATTGCAGCCCAAAGCAGCATTTTCCAAATTCAAATTCTGCATCAGAATTAAATTGAAACCGCATGACTTTTAAATGTGAAAAGGTTTAATTTCCTTTTAATACCGTGAAAGAGTAAAGAGGATCATGATGAAAAACAATGAGCAGTCTCCTTGGGATAGCCTTCACTGTTTCTTATTTTTGGAGAAACTCCAGATGAAATATTATCTAATTCCAGAGGGGAGAGATATGAATGAAGCCAAGAATTGTGAATCAAAAAGGAATGAAGAAAGTAGTCTTCTCTCTGGGTAAGTATTTGGGGAACTTCCAGAAGGCCTTTCATGATTCTGTTTCTTTTACAAGCTAAGAGACATGCTGGCTAAGAATTATTGTATTTGGAAAAGGAAGGAAGGAAGGAAGGAAGGAAGGAAGGAAGGAAGGAAGGAAGGAGGCAGGCAGGAAGAATGAAGTGGTCAACTTATTCTTCAAAGCACCTGAAGGTAGGATAAGAAACAATGGATGAAAACTAATCAAGGAGAGAACCAATTTAGAACCAAGGAGAAACTTCCTGACAGAACCAATTGATCAGTGGAATGACTTGCTTCCAGAAGTTGTGAATGTTCCAAAACGGGATGTTTTTAAGAAGAGATTGGACAACCATTTGTCTGAAATGGTATAGGGCAGTGATGGCTAACCTTTTTGCCATCGCGTGCCAGCAGAGGGGGGGGGCGGGGGACGGTCGCGCGTGCACGTGCCCACGCGCATGTGTGTGCAACCCCCTCCCCCCTGGCACATGATGGCCTAGTAGGCCCGTTTTTCTTTCTTACCTGGTTCCAAATCCTCTCTGTGTATCTGGGAACGGCGAAAACAGCCTTTCCCACTCCCTTGGAGGCCCTACAGAGGCTGAAAGGGCCCATTTCCCAACTCCCGGTGGGACAGGAAGTGACATTTTTTGCTGTCCCCAGCCTCCAGAACCTCTCTAGGAGTCTGTAGGAGCCTCTCTAGGAGTCTGTAGGACCCTCTCTAGGAGTCTCTGGAGGCTGGGGGCAGGAAAAAAGTCACTTCCTGTCCCACCGGGAGTGGGGAAATGGGCCCTTTCAGACTCCGTAGGGCCTCCAAGGGAGTGGGAAAGGCTGTTTTCACCGTTCCCAGATACACAGAGAGGATCTGGAGCCAGGTAAGAAAGAAAAACGGGCCTTCCCCACCCCCCCAGGCCCTCCAGAGGCAGGAAACAGCCTGTTTCCCTACTTCTGGTGGGCCCAGAAGGCCCGAAAATCAGCTGGCCGGCGCGCGCATGCGCCCCAGAGCTGAGCTGGCGTGCCCACTAATATGGCTCCGCGTGCCACCTGTGGCACGTGTGCCATAGGTTCGCCATCACGGGTATAGGGTTTCCTGCAGAGCAGGGGGTTGGACTTGAAGAGCTGCAAGGTCTCTTCCAGCTCTGTTATTCTGGAACAGAATCTGTAGTTGATGGAAAAGGGACATTGGTCTTACCTGAGACACTCCTTCTCCGTGGATACCGAGAGTCCAAGAATGGGATTGACAATGTCCTTTCTGCCCAGAGACTGAGTCATCAAATTGCAGCCATGCCCTGTTGTCTCTCTCTCTGGCTCCAGTTTTCGATGATAGCGTAGCTGTGAATAAAAGTCTTCTTGTACCATTAGTTGCTCCTGGACTGTGGCCCATATGGTCCCAGGGTGGGTTTGGACTCTCCCGCTATCCACAGAGGAGGAGAGTCTCAGGTAAGACCAACGCCCTTTCTCCTGTGTGATAGTGGGAAGTCCAAGAATGGGATTTACCAAAGCCTACTGCTCTAAGGGAAGGAAGCCGTTTGGTCTGGAGTCTCCCGTTGAATGCACTGTAAGACCCTCTGCCCGAAGGATGCGTCAGCTGATGCGAAGGTGTCTAACTTATAGTGCAGAATAAATGGCGACAGAGAAGCCCATGACGCTGCCCTGCAAATTTCTTCAATAGAAGCCTATGTTGCATAAGCTGCTGTCGTGGCTGCACTCCTAGCTGAGTGAGCCATTACCCGACCGGTTAGTGGCAGGGCCTTAGATTGGTAGGTCTTGGCTATGCACGCTCTCAACCATCTGCCAACTGTTGATGGGGTTACTCTATGGCCCATCGATAATGGTTGGAACGATACAAAAAGTGACTCTGTTTTTTATAGAAAATATGACGTATGTCAAAAGAAATACGGACCATAATTAGAAAGGTGAAAGTGAAAAAGAAAACAAATGTGTTATAGACCTCTTTTTTTTTTTTTTTTACTCTGAATCAAAACAGTTAAGTCTTGGAGAAAGCAATCCAGAAATTATTGGAGATTACAAATTAAATATAGAAGTAGAAAAGCAGCTCCAATAGATTGGTTCTGATTGTCCCTTATGTATTATTAACTTGGAGAGGGTATATGTAGAGGTGTGTGAATACAGTATCTCTATCTTGGAAAATGACAGATTGGAATATTTTTAATGCGTTCTGAAAATGTCAGCGGGTGAATTTTCTAACACAAAAAAGCATCTCAATGACTGGGCACAGATAAGCAACTAGAGCAATTGGAAAAACAGACACATTAAAAAAAATGTAATTCAGTCTTTGCTTGATTATCTGCGTTTCAACTGATCTCTAGAGAATATTTTTATTGTGCTGTGCAAGTTCTCTCTATTTCCAACTCTTCCCTCACACCTGCTTTTATTACATATAACAACCCTCCTCCTTTTTTAATATTGTCTATAGTTCAGTTATCTTTTCCACACAGGGTATAATTGACATTTCAGATATAAAGAGAATCAGGAAAACTTTTTTGCCCTTGCATCTCAACTTTCTGGAGACCAACATAGAACAAGATATATAAATACTATCCAATGCTGGAAGGAACTCTTTCACAGAAGATCACTACATTAGTATTTATAATGTAAGAGAATTTGGGGTCTGAAGTTTTCAAGGACCCAAATATTTATATATTTTTTCATAATACTGAAATACTATAATTTATTGATGAGGAAGCCTATTTAATAATAGAGGTGATGCTTGCAGCAGTTAGAAGGCTAATGTATAATTTACAAATCAAAACATAGGTGGAATTCTAGTTTACTTTGAATACTAGGCATACTCTACATGGAAAAGACAGTTTCTAAGATTGTGAAATAGCTGCGAGATAAATAAAAGACAGTTTTGCTAAATAAAACATCACTTTTTTTTAAAAAAAATTCATTCATTCATTCATTTTATTTATATCAATCCAAGCCTGTTCATGGAAAGAACGTTGTCTTACCTGAACGTTCCTTTTCAGCTTCACTGCGAATGCAATCCACATATGGGTTGTTTTCCCCATCGCTTATCTCTGACTGGGTAATTTTTCTTGAATATCTCCCTTCGTGCTGTGGCCACGCCCTGCTGTCCCGTGATGCATCAGTCTTTGAACGAAGGCGCGACCACCTAGGTGAGGATTAGAGTCAGGTAAGTAAACACAATGGAGCCACAAGGAACTGAACCCAGTAGAAGGATAAAGAAACAAAAGAAACAAATGCAACCATAGGGTGGGGGTGGATTGCATTTGCAGTGAAGCTGAAAAGGAACGTTCAGGTAAGACAACGTTCTTTTTCCAGCTCATTGCTCATGCAATCCACATATGGGATATACCAAAGTTCAGATCCCAAGGGCGGGAGACAAATCGCTCCCAGTGGCCTGGTGTTGAGTCCTACCGGAGCTGGCCTGCAAGAACACTCTGCAGAACATGTCGTCCGAATGAAGCCTCCGCTGATGCGTAAGCATCGATCTTATAGTGTTTAATAAATGGCGTAGCAGAGGACCAGGTGGCAGCCCGGCAGATATCCGAGACCGACGCCTGCGTAGCCCAAGCGGCCGACGTTGCAGCGCTACGCGTAGAGTGAGGCAAAACACGAGGAGGGACAGGACAGCCTCGTTGTTCGTAAGCCGTAGCGATGCACTTCTTGATCCATCTGCCTACAGTAGACGGAGATATCTTTTGACCTAGGGATGAAGGATGAAAAGAAACCAAAAGTGCCTCAGACTTCCTGAACGATTCAGTTCTACGAATGTAACGACGTAAAGCCCTACGGACGTCGAGGGTATGCCAGTCCTTCTCTCGTAGGTGCCTGGGCGAGGGACAAAAATCTGGAAGCACGAGCTCTTGGGCACGATGGAAATAGGTGTTTATTTTAGGCAAGAACGTAGGATCCAGGCGCAAAATCATGGTATTGGGTTGAAAGATGCATAGATCTTTTCTAATTGACAATGCGGTAAGTTCGGAAACCCGTCTTGCGGAGGTGATCGCCAAAAGGAAGGCCACCTTGTAAGATAAGTACTGGAGAGGAACAGAACCCAAGGGTTCAAAGGGAGGAGACATAAGGGCCTGCAGAACAAGAGGGAGATCCCAGGACGGGTAACGATGGACAGGCGGTGGACGGAGATTAACAGCCCCGTGGAGAAAACCTTTAATCGACGGGTGCAGAGACAGAGAAGAATAAGGAGAACACCTGATGACCGTGGACAAGGCAGCAGTTTGACGCCGAAGGGTAGATGGTGACAAACCCTTGTCGAGACTTGCTTGTAAGAAGCACAAAATATCCACAATCTGAGCCGAGGTAGGGTCAACTAATTTGACAGCGCACTAGGAACAGAAGGATTTCCATGAGGACTCATATATCCGAGAAGTCGAAGGTCTCCATGAGGCCTGGATGGTATCTGTGACAGAGTCCGGTATACAGTCTTTTTGCAGAATGACCCGCTCAAACGCCAGACGGCCAATTTGAGCCATCCTGGGTCTGGATGAGCGATGGCCCCTTGACGAAGCGACAGACGTTCTGGCGGAATCACCCACGGTGGGTGGATTGACAACGCTACCAGATCCGCGTACCATGGGCGGCGCGGCCAATCTGGCGCCACCAAAAGGAGTTCCGCTTGTTCCTCCAGCAGTTTGCGTATCACCTGAGGAATCAGGGGAAGTGGAGGAAAGGCGTATAAGAGAGCCGGTGGCCAATGGCACCTGAGTGCATTGTGATCCTCTGCCGACTGACACGGGTAGCGAGTCACAAATCGAGGCAGTTGAGCGTTTGACGGGCTGGCAAAAAGGTCCACCACGGGAACGCCGAAGATGAAACAGGCCGTGCGAAACAGACCGGGGTGAAGTTGCCATTCGGACTGATCTATGGTCCGTCTGCTTAGCCAATCGGCCCTGGTGTTCTCCACGCCGGAAATGTGATCGGCCCTCAACGATAGGACATGCTTCTCCACCCAACGCAGAAGGCGTTCGGACTCCAGCATCAGGGGTCTTGACCGAGTGCCCCCTTCTTTGTTTATATGGGCCTTCACTGCGATATTGTCCGTCAGGACAAGGACATGATGGCCCGACAAGTGTGGTTGAAAATGATGCAGAGCTAGACGAATGGCCCTTAATTCCAAAAGATTGATGTTGAGTCGTCTCTCTGTTCCAGACCAGCGGCCCTGTACAATCTGGTTGCGAAGATGAGCCCCCCAGCCTTGGAGGCTGGCATCCGAGGTCAAGGTCAGGCGGTCTTGAACCAGGAAATGCGAGCCCTTGTGAAGACCCGGTCCTAACCACCAACGAAGGGAGAGACGAAGTTGGGGTGGAAGGGGCACCTTGCGTAGAGAGTCGCTCTGGCCTGATCGCTGGTAAGGGAGGAGAAACCATTGTAACGGTCTCGTGTGACGACAGGCCCATGGCACAATCGAGAAGCTCGAGACCATTTTCCCCAGCAACTGAGAGAGATGAAGGAGAGGAATGGACTGATGTGATAGCACTAGATGGATTAAATCGCATATGCTTTGAATTCTGTCCGGGGAAAGAAAAACTTGCCCCTGTACAGTGTCTATAATCGCTCCGAGGTGCAGCAGAGTGGTGGAAGGGTGAAGGTGGCTTTTCGGGAAGTTTATTGAAAAGCCGTGGATCTGGAAAGCCTCGACATTGCGAAGATCTCGAGACGCTTGACTTCTGGACGATGACAGGACCAGAATGTCGTCGAGATAACATAAGACCCTGACAGGAACCTTCCTGAGGGAGGCCGCCACTACCGCCACCAACTTTGTAAAAGTCCTCGGGGCTGAAGACAAGCCAAAGGGCATGGCGCAGTACTGATAGTGGTCCTCCCCAATCTGAAAATGCAGAAACTTTCGGTGTGCTGGTCGGACTGGTACATGCAGATATGCCTCCCTGAGGTCGACTGACTGGAGGAAATCCCCTCGACGAATTCCTCCAAGGATGGACCTCAGCGAGTGCATTTTGAATCTGCGGTAAGATACCGACAGATTCAATTGTTTCAGGTTGAGGATGGCCCCCCAACCCCCGGAATGCTTCGGAACGAGAAAGAGGGTTGAATATAAGCCCTCGCCCGTTGCTCTGGAGGAACTGGTTCTATTGCTTTGATATGTAATAGATGGGAAACTTTCTTCCGTAGTTGGCAGTCCAACTCCATTTGGAGAGGAGGGCAGCAAATGTGGCGAGATGGAGGGCGATCCAGGAACTCTATGGCCAAACCTTCTGACACTGTACGAAGAATCCATGCATCCGTGGTCGACTGTTCCCATTGATGACGAAAAAGATGGAGGCGGCCACCAATGGGATCCAACCGGGTGTAGTCACTTTCCTCTG